GACCTTGTAAACTACTTATATAGGCCAACCAGTATAATATAAGAACACGCTACTAGCACGAGCAAAGCTAGCAGGTGTTTTGAATCCTCGTGGTCCCAACAGCGGAAGGGTACCAGGCACGGGTAAGCCTATTACGAGATCACCGAGTGTTCAACACTCGGCTGGAAGAAATAAAAGGGAGGCAATTCAAGCACTCCCAGTCGTGCAAATAGGCAACAATAAGCCGTCACGTAAAACGTCCCGATAATAATCGGCCAATACACAAAGTCTCTTGGCCTTGCCGGATGAACCCTCGCTACAGAGCTTCGAGTTCACCGACAGGCATAGCACACTCAAACAAGCTTGACCTGACGCTTACCTTGAAGCCGGACGTCGCTCTGTGTGCTTGAGTGGAAATTCTGTTCTGTATTTAAGCTTACCCTTTCGGGTCTATTCCTAATAAGAAGTCCTAATCAAGTATACAAATATCAAGTGAACAATGATCCGTTATGGATCTTCTTGCATGCCAAGCGTCGTCTGCACTGTCGCATGAGCATCTTTAACGGTCCGCGCCCTGTCCCAGACGGACAACGTGTCTTCCAAAGGTCGCTGAGTATTCCGCGAACTCATCCCAACCGCCACTGAGTGTTCGTACCGTAGATGGTCCGCTGAATGCGAATCCGGCCAGTCCATTATTAATAATAAGGACAGCCTGGATTCAGTGACATAGGGCCGTATCCGATATTTGTTGAAAACTCGGAGGTGACGCCGTCGAGTCCCTTGCACCTTGGCGTCTCCGTACATCACCCGACCGAGAGTTCGTCGCTTGAACAACTTGGGCGGTGTCACGTCTTTGTCGACGGGTGATAATCCGCAACCACGGAGAAATCACTACACCACATGTTCATAATCAATATGATTCCACATTACCAGGCTCATCCCCAAATTCTTGCATCCACGTCTTCAGTCTCTGTTTGCTCGTCGTTCCTTCACGCTCTTGATCCTTTAGGCGCTGAATGAGGTTGTGGACGTCGCGAATTTTCATGTTACAGTCTGAATTTTCAAGGACAAACTGCAGAATATTTTTCTTCTTTGCCTTCGCCTTGCGCAAAACATCAACCGTCTTCACCATGGAAGGAGCAAGTGCCGTTCGGACCGACGAGTAGTGCTCGTAGCTGGAACGAGTCAGGGGATGGTTATGCTGCAGTTTGGCAGTAGTGACGCATAACGCGAACACAGGGTCGTTTGTGCTACCATTGACGACACGGACACAAGCGTTTATCTGAAGGAAGAACATATATTTTGTCAGTATTACGAAAGGCATTACAGCACATCCAGTTGCAGGTGTCCCATCTGAACCCGACTCGATGGGAATTCACCCATCTGTGCCCAACTCGATAGTATTTAGCCCAACTGTGCCCAAATATAAATGACTACATACCTGTGCACCGCACTCAGTCGATCGTATTTCCCGACGTGGCCGCTTGCCTTTACCCCGCGGTTTGTACTTGCCCGCGTGGGTGCAAAGTCAGGTGCGTCCGATGCTCCAGGAAGGGGAAGCCGGAACTCTAGCGCAAGTTCTGAGCGACTAGATAAGCTTGAAGGTCTCATTGAAGGCATGGCCAAACAACAGGCCAAGTTTATGGCTGACCAAGCGGAGCTTCAAAAGCAGCTGCAGCACCGCACGGACATGCCATCCTTCGAACACAAGTACGGAGAGTCGAGCGCGTTTACTGATTTCATCAAGGCTCGAGCACGGCGGATGAGAGTAGGATCTCTCGATGCGTCGATGAGGACGCCGACGCAGACGACGCCAGCTCCAGAGATGCCGACGCCACCGACGGAGAACGCGACGAGTATGCAACAGCGGATGGCCGCACCCATGGCAGAGCAGTTTGTGCCGCCACCAAACTTCGGACTCAAGGTGCCGAAGCCACGCGACCTGGACTGGCCGGGCTTCGCGAAGTTCGCGGGCAAGGAGGTGTATCCTGGCCTTGGTGCGGATTTCAAGACTTGGGGACTGCGATTCTTGCAGCGACTGGCTGCAGCTCAGCAGATGAGCGGTGGTGACTGGTCGGAGGAATTCCGCATCCTTGCCTTGAACGGCAAGATGGATGGATCTGCACTGGTGTACTTCGAGAGGATGCTTCCACTCTGGACGGCGGAGTCGCCGACACTGGAACATGTGATGAATAGAATGTTAGTACCGTACATGACGACGATCACTGCATCCAAGGGATTGCAGTTGATGACGGCAGAGAAACTGCGCGAAAGGACGTGGGCGGAGCACTTTCAGTACTTGACGTACGTAGCTGAAAGGTCGGGGTGTTCGGATCTACACGTGATACAGTGTTTGTGTAAGTCCGCACCGGGTTACTTGCAGAGTGCCATGCTCACAAGGCTGAACTCACAGCGCATGGATCACTTGCAGCAAGCTACGGAGTTAGTGGCTTTTGCGATTGAGTACGAGGCAAGCATGGGCAAGTACGAACGATCTCGTAGTCAAGGAGGCCGCGGCAACAGAGAACATGGTCGGTTCCATGGTAGTAACCGAGGTGTCCACGGTGAACGAGGACAGGAAACCGTCTCACGCGTAGACGATACTGACACTCGCAGATGCTACAACTGCAACGAGATTGGACATATTGCAAGAAATTGTCCAGCGAAGAAGAATAACGGTGCCAAAGAGATCAAGGTCTCGCTAGCTGTCGGGACGGGCACGAACACCGACACACACGCGTGGATCTTGGATAGTGGATCCAGCGTGCATCTAGTCAAGACCGTAGAGCTGTTGAAGAACGCAGTGGACTGTGACGATCAATACAGAGCGGCGAATGGTGAGAACATAAGGGTAATCAAGAAAGGCTCTGTGGAGCTCAAGACGATCGTGGATGGACGAGAAGTCGTGGTGGACATTTCGGATGTTCATTACGCTGAGAACTTAGCCGACAACATCATGAGTTACGGCAGATTGGAGGAGAAAGGTGTGTACCTTGAGCGTCACGACGGCAAAAGCTACATGGTGCAGCAGAAGAGTGGAGTAGATTGGATGACCCGCCTGTAAACGTTTTCGCCCGGTACAGAAAATACTCTGGAATCTGTTGGTCCGGGTATATATTTTTCAGTTTCCAATTTTCAAGCAATACTTTCCAAGACTTGCTTTGCAATGTGCCGCTACATTTGCCTAGTAGCTGTAGCTGTTCTGCTTGCTTGCGGATCTGTCTTTTCGACTGTGGTTTCGCAAAGGACCCCGACGAGTTCGAGCGAGGATGA